ATATTAACATAAGCAAAAATTAAGAGAATTGTTGATTCATAATGTGCAATGAATAACATCTTACGGACAATAACTGAGTAATGTAAACAGTACAATAATAAAAATAAAAAGGTGTTATTGAAGAGTCCTATGTTATTAAAGCATTTTAAAGCATAGAAGGCTACTTCACTTGTATATCAATATATTTAATACTACAAGCTCTGATAGCAGGGTTGTTATAGTTAACTAAAACCAAAACCATATTAAAAAATATATATATTTTCGTTACTTGAAATGAAGTAAACATGAACTGGGGGGGAAAAAAGCATTTCAGTTAGTTGCCAAAGCAAATTTTCTTATTTTCATTTAGTTTAACATGATGTACTAAAATAACTCAAAATAAAAACTAGAGACATTTTAAAAACTAAAATGATAGAGAAAAACAACAAAATTACTAAAACTTTCAAATGAAACGGAAAATATTAAAATATAAACGAATTAAAAATATTAACAAAAGACTAATATAACACAATCTCGGTTTTGCTCCTAATTTAATTTTTAGCTCTACCGACAACAATGACAAAATATAATAGTCTTGATATTACAATAAGCTTTCATTTCTGCAACATGATTTTGATCTGTAAAGAAATAACATTTCAACTCACTTTTCTCACATGATTGTATACAGTCAAGTCACATAAAACATTAGCCTGATATTAACTGATATCTCATCAATATACAACATGGTACATAGTGTATAAAAAGCAAACCACTATAGTCAGTTAAACTGTTTAATTGTCCATTGCAAAGCATGGTGGAACAGGCTACACACTGAACATTTCACAAGATAAATTATGAAAATTTGTTTAAAATGTGACATCCGTTTAGATTTTAAAATATTTTTCACTTTTTTTGTGATGAAAAATACAGTCATTGACTATTCTGGAAATTACAACTGAGCATTTACATGGCAGGTGCCATAAAGAAATAAAATGCTGTGTGCAAATATACAGTAGTTCTAACATTCAACTCTCCATCACCACCTGCCGGTCGCCACAGCTATTGCAAGTATGTTTTTAAAATATTATACAGACAGTCTCATAAATTTTGTGGAACTGGAGAGAGTATTCACTCAACTCTTTTGTGCACTGATAAATGACATTCAAAAAGGCCTAGACTTTATGATGTTTTTTTTTTTACAATAAATACCCTGCATACTCTGGCAGTGTAACTAATAAAGGGATTGTGCTTGAAAACCATTAGTAATGATCACATGAGTGCAGTCAGCTGCAAAACCTCAAAACATTTGATACCCTATTTTGTAATAAATATGTCCTAAAGCATGGCTTTTAAATTAGTATCTAATTAGTTTAGCTCTATGGAAAGGGGAAAAAAAATTAAGTACAAATTTCCAGACCTCTTAGGTTCAGACTACAAGTCTAACTCTTCAAACAGTAACTATAGTAAATAAAACTGGCAGAATGGAGAATTTCCGCCCAAATCATCTTCATTTTAATTAAAAGTCTAGGAGTAAAAAGTAAAAAAAGAAAAGAAAAAAAAATTCACAGCAGTATGGCACATAATTTAAATCCATTAGGGTTTTAGAATTCTCAACCCCGCTTGTAAACATTCTATGATTTTGTGCAGTCCAGGCAAAAACTGGTTAAAATGTACCCCATATCCATGGCCTCTGCAGTACTGGAATAACACTACAATATCAAAACACAATATCTAAGGATATCTAAGAAGTGGCAGTAAACAAAACACATTTACTGTATAATCTGATCTCAAATTTAGGACATCACAGAGGCTTCTAAAAAATAGAATCTCCAGATCAGACATAATGCTAACTAGACCGTCACATAGACATTTAAAAGGAAATACCAAAATATTCAAAATGCACATTATAGACATTCTATTACAGATGTTTTCATAAATATTAAGATCTAAACAAATCAAATATCTAAGGCCTCTTTATAAAACGGTGTCTTCATGATTATAGAGTAAGATTGTCACTTTTCATTTTGTTTGGTCAGAGTGCAATACCTACAGAATGCTAAAAAAGTTCCAGAACAAGTAGAGTATAAATCCCATTCATCTTGTGGCTGGTGGTGTGGCTTTAGTGAGCATCTACAGCAGTGTTAGTCTATGGAGAACAAGTCCAGGATCGAGGCTTTAGCAAGTCTATGAAAGAAGGCTGAGGAAACAAAAAGAAACCACAAATATATGAATAAATTCACAAACTATATTCACAGATGAACCCACCAGGCATAAAAACTTAGTTTACCTCTTGAATGGGGCAGAAGCGCTGTGCGTACCACTCCTGAGAGTACAGGCAGATGAGAACCCCCTGACCCAAGAACAGCGCAGTCCACATGATCACGTTCCAGATCGGCCCTTTTCTCCGGTCATTAAGAATGAAGTTAAACACCACTAAGAGAAATATGAGAGGATAAGAGATTTTCATATTCAGGCTCTGTCATGTCAATCAGTCCAGGCTCTCTGTGAGCAGGCCACACTAGCGGACTGTCCACATTAATCCCATGATGGCCCAGAGCAACTGGACCATCCTTTGTATCCTTTGGGCCCATGCAGGTTTTGTGTAGACAGCCCTGTAATGCAACTAGGAGAATACAAATAACATTGACTGGCCATTTTTTTAGCCACTCAATTGAAGTGGAATGGCTCAAACCAAAAGAGGCCTTTTCAGAATCTGTTGTTTCATATATGCAAGGATCCTCAAATCTGGCTCACGAGATCCACTTTCCAGCAGAGTTTAGTTCTAACCTTAATCAAACACACCTGAGCATGCTAATCAGTGTCTTCAGGATCATTAGAAAATCACAGTTGGGTGAGTTTGATCAAAGTTGGAGCTAACCTTTGCAGGAAAGTGGATCTCACAAGCCATATTTGAGGTGTAACCGACACGAGCCTATTAATAAGAATTTTGTGGGCAGTTTTCTTCCTTACCACTAGGGGTGCTAGTGTGTTTTAGGTTTCCTTAAAGGGGTCATATGATGCGATTTCAAGTTTTCTCTTTGGAGTGTTACAAGCTGATTGTGCATAGATAAGATCCCTGAAGTTGCAAAGACTAAAGTCTCAAAACCAAAGAGATATTCTTTATCAAAGTTAAGACTCTGCCACGCCCCCCTAAAACGGCTCGTTCTAACACGCCCCCACATATCTACCTCACTATGTAGAAATATTTGCGTAATGCTGTCCAAATGTGCACGCAAAGAAAGAAGGCTTGGTTTCAGTAACCGCAGTTAGTGTTGATGCAGTCAGGGAGACGCTGTGTGTGTCTAGGCGAAAGCAAAAGCACTTTATTTGGCTTTCCAGAAGTAGATGCATTTAGGAATCTTTAAGATTACTTACAACAGAACAGCAATGCATTTTATGGATGACCATTTCGTGAACCTAGAAGAGGAGGTAATTCTGACTTTGCTATGACAATCTGGTGCTTCTGAATCAGCTACTGTTTTGTTATTAGTTTAAGTATTTGCTATTGACTTAAAATGCGGAGTTTTGCGCATCGTGTGTGTGTGCTCACGCGCTTGTGTGTGTGAGAGAGAGAGCGAGAGAGAGACAGGGTAACATCACAGTGGAGTCAGCCGTCTTAACCGTGGCTTGTGAACTGCAAACACATACCAGCTTCATCACTGTGTCGGTCACGCAACTTGAACTGATGGTAAAACTAATGACATTTACGGTCTTTACATTTATTTTGAAAGATGAAGCTCGCGATTATGGTAAGGGGCATTATATTTCCGACGAGTGCTTGTGGTGTTCGGCCAATCACAATGCACTGGGTCAGCTGGCCAATCAGAGCAGACTGCGTTTGTCGGAAGGAGGGACTTTGTAGAAAAACGACGTGTTTGAGAGAGGCAGGGCATAGAGGACCTACAATAATGTACAGTATTTTAAAAATAATGTGTTTTTTGAACATTAAAGCATGTCAACATATTCCGTTACACCAAATACACAAAATAATGATCTTTAAAAAAAAAGCATCATATGACCCCTTTAAGTAAAGCCATGTGGGTAGAGGGAGTTAGTACGGAACAGATGGTGGCGGTAATGCACCAATTACGATGGATGCCAACCGCCATTAAACATTACAAAGAAGAGGGAGTTAGCAATAGCTAGCAGAAGTAGCCAGCATGGCTCACCTGCTAAATACATTGTGCTGTGTCCTGGTTGGCAAATGTGTCATTTCAAGCCCAGTCTAAAGTAAGGAGTTGTTGTTTTTTTTAAAGTGTACATTGCTGATGTTTTTTGCAGAGATGTTACATGTAAGTATGTCCTATGTTTGGATTGATGCTAAGAGTTTAAGATAGTGTATTTGTATGCATTTTAGAAGGACTCTTTATTGGTGAGGTTACCACATCATGGTCCAGTATGAATATGGATATAAAGTTCTTTTCGACGTGGGACCATAGTCTGGACTTTTTTTGATTGTTCCTGGTTAGGAAGAGTCTGGTGTTTGAGCATGTTTTCATTACGAGAGGTTGGATTATTCATTTTGCTATCAGTAAACTTCAGCTATGGACAGTGTTTGGACATTGATGAAATACAGATAAGACTTTCGCACACATCAACTTTCATATGACGAAATCCTACAGTCTCACGTTGCTTTGTTTGCCTTACTTTTTTGTACTTGTGTATTTACATTTTTGGCTATATGTAGCTGTATTAACCTAAACTGAATGTTTTCTATTTAATACATTTATTTGAAATCACTTTGACTACGGACAATACAGACATTAGTTATGTGGTGACTGCATCCATTTTCAGATGTATAACAACTGTTTTTCCCAAAGACTTAAAGGAAAACTCCACTATTTTTGAAAATAGGCTCATTTTCCAACTCCCCTAGAGTAAAATAGTTGAGTTTTACCGTTTTCGAATCCATTCAGCCGATCTCTTAGACCGTTAACATCTCGCTCAAATGACCAAAGAGTTTCTATATTTTTCCTATTTAAAACTTGACTCTTCTGTAGTTACATCGTGTACTAAGACTGACGGAAAATGAAAAGTTGCGATTTTGTAGGCCGATATGGATATGTAACTACAGAAGAGTCATTTTGGAGCGAGATGCTAACGGTCTAAGAGATCGCCTGAATGGATTCGAAAACGGTAAAACTCAACTGTTTAACTCTAGGGGAGTTGGAAAATGAGCCTATTTTCATAAATAGTGGAGTGTTCCTTTAAGTTATAGTAGCTGGAAAGTATTTAAAGCGAAACAGATGTATTGTTGTAGATTAATAGTGCAGGGCCTGTGTGGGCATAGTGAGGGCTTCCTGGTGGCTAAGTGAGGGCTGCCCGTGCAGGACCAGCGCTAAGGGGCCAACGTTTTGCCAATGAGCAAATTCTCAGGGGCCCTGCGCTGGCAGACCATTGGGGGCCCTGTAAAGGCTTGTTTGCAGGGTAAACACCAGCTTGGTCAGCTGTAAAACCAGCTAAGACTATCGGTTTTTTCAGCAGGGATATTTGACATGCTCTTGTAGTAAATTAGGTTCTTACTTCCAAAGCACATGAAGATGCAGAACAAGACAGGGTAGAAGAAGCCAAAGCAGATGGCCAGAACATACTCGTGCACCACAGCAGACACCGTAAAAACAACCAACATGGCCGCTGCACGGAATCGCTTCTGTGTCATCTGTAGACATGGATGATCACACATGGTTTAGCTTGAGTCCATTCAAATAAACCAAAAACAGATTGTTTAATAAAATACAGTACAATCGTCAAGGTCCAATCTGAAACACTGTTTACACCAATGAATTTCCATGTCTTTTTCAGTCATTTGTAATTCTTGGATGATTTCTTTAAAGAGTGCACTCAAAGTGCAGATTCTGTATATAGCGGATTAAATATAAATAAAATATACAAAAATAAATCGAAACTTCATGTATAAAAATGATAATAAAAATTAATTATAATAATTATATAAAAAACGAATTATAATCATTCAATAAAGAATAATGTATTTTAGAATAACTAGTCTTATAAAGAATAACTAGAATCTTTTATATTGTATTCTGTAACATTTTCAACTTATGACTTACCCACAGGAAGTCCCTGTAGACATAGTAATAAAGCCAATCATGTACTACAACATTCCATGTGCGGTAATAGTTAGCAAATGAAGTGGAGTTCCACCAGTCCTAGAGAAAAAGCATTTTCATTTTTCAATGAATAATCATATAATGGCAACATCTGCTTTTAAACAAAAGATATCTGATCATGTGGAACATATAACCCTTATAAAACCTTACCTTATAAAACATTCTGTCTCCAAATCGTAGCATTTCAGCAAATGCATTAAGCCAGCAATGCAGAAAGGCAAAGAACGCCAAGAATAGCACCAGCACTCCTACAGATATAGAACACCACCTTTACACAAATTGCATTCATTTTTATACTTTTTTTTTTACTACATCTGTGACCATTCTCAGTGTGTACTCTTCTTATTTAGACATCTTATCAGTATAAAGTAATCTAAAGATGTGCCACATTTAAATATGACATTCTACCTGGCAGTATAGAGTTGAAGACACACAACACCATGGCCCTCAGATCAAAGAGCTGCATACTGATACTGCGGAACTGAGGGATGCACAGCCGCACGAATATGTAATATGCATAAAACAAACACCCAAGCACCTGAAACGACACAGAAAAAAAACTGTGTCACAGTTACTCAACACTTACACAAGATTTCAACATCACATTTACCAAGCCTTAAAATATATACAGTGGGTACGGAAAGTATTCAGACCCCCTTAAATTTTTCACTCTGTGTTATATTGCAGCCATTTGCTAAATTCATTTAAGTTAATTTTTTTTCCTCAATGTACACATCACCCCATATTGACAGAAAAACACAGAATTGTTGACATTTTTGCAGATTTATATATCTCTTTATATTCTGGCAAAAACAAAACCATTATGAATACATGACACCACACTGCTGGCAAGGTCAGAGCTTTCACATTTACAAGAAGGTTGCTTTTTTTTTAAAAACTAAAGCAAAACGGATTCCAAAAGTGTTGATGAATTGTGAATGCTCTAACCTGCCCTCATCTATGAAGTCCACGACGAGTGTACTGAAGATGAAGAGAATGAGGAGGGCGATGAACATGTGATAGATGGTGCGAATGTGGTTCACCTCGAAGAGATCACTGCAGAAAAATAGTTTAATAAGCACTATTATTATAAACAAATCTCACACATATCAGGACAGGTTTCAGCAAGATTACCCATGACTTACTCTAATAGGGATCGACGGATCACAAACTGCTTGCTTTGGCCTTGGGGAGGTCGCGTATGCCTACAGGAGCAGAGAGGAAGATAAAAAGGGTTAGACAACAGGGGAAAAAGAAAAAGGCAAAAAAGAATATGAGATAAAAGCATTACGCTGATAGACTGGCATGCTAGTCATGTGCCAAGATCACGCAATGGGAAAGAAATCACAAATGCATTGAATTCAAGCAAATTTGAATGACAGAAAAGAGAAGAGAATTAAGTGTACTAGCCAGCTATGGCACTCATTGCAATCTGGTTTTTGCATGCTTTCAGGGTCGCCGTGATTTTGCCAAGACAGACATGTTCCTGGATCAACATCTTTTGTTGATCCTGGATCAACATAACTGTCCAAAAATATAGACTTAACCCAATCCCTACCCCTAAACCTAACCCTACCCATAATTTATTCCTAAAAACAGTGTGAAATGATAGCTGATTAACAAGGGTGTAGAAGCACCTAACCCTGATTGTAAGCCTAAAACAGATATTTCCTGAAAAGTTATCCCTCAATTCTGATTGGTTGATAGGAATGTTGTTCCAGGATCAACAAGGATGTTGATCCAGGAACATGTTGTACTTGGCGAAATCACAGTCACTGAAGTGTACTAGCCAGCTATGGCACTCATTGCAATCTGGTTTTTGCATGCTTTCAGGGTCGCCGTGATTTTGCCAAGACAGACATGTTCCTGGATCAACATCTTTTGTTGATCCTGGATCAACATAACTGTCCAAAAATATAGACTTAACCCAATCCCTACCCCTAAACCTAACCCTACCCATAATTTATTCCTAAAAACAGTGTGAAATGATAGCTGATTAACAAGGGTGTAGAAGCACCTAACCCTGATTGTAAGCCTAAAACAGATATTTCCTGAAAAGTTATCCCTCAATTCTGATTGGTTGATAGGAATGTTGTTCCAGGATCAACAAGGATGTTGATCCAGGAACATGTTGTACTTGGTGAAATCACAGTCACTGCGCTTTCAGTACCTGAGTTTGCTTTTCTCCTTATCTGAGAGAGGAAAGACTGTGCTGACATGGGAGGAAACCAGACTAGCAGATTCCTCTATCAGACTGTCCATGAATTCATTGACTTGGGTGTCGAACTGCCTCATCAGGTCTGTCTTTAAATGCTGAAAAAAAACAGCAAAACAGTAAAGACACAGTGTAGCAGTCTCTAAGGTTTCCAGAAGGTATTATGAAGCTCAACACATCATATCCACAAGATAACAGCAATTCAGCCAGAGAATCAGGTCTCATGTGATAACTCAAGCGGTCATAGTCATGCTGTTTTGACTGCAGCTGCTCTTAAAGGAGACAAATGAAGATCATGTCAAAGAAACTTTTTGGGATATAAAATTTCTTCGCAGACTGAACTGAACTGAAACGGAACTGATGACGCAATACATTGAAGGTCTGTAATTCAAATAAATTCTAAAGTTCAATCATATGACTACAACAAAATGTATTTTTTAGGAAAGTGTATAGAAGATGTGTTACAAACAAGGACATCATATTTTCCCAAACCTCACTGCCCCTGGCTGACAACCACATCCTTCCCTATTCTTTCTACACTTCCTGTAACGTTTACAAGCACCTACATCAAGCAGTGCAAGACAATCTAAAGCACGAAACATTTGATCCCTAAAAACAAAGTGAAAAAATATATTTTTTTTTTAGTCTGAATCTATTACATTTAGTAATACATTATACAATTCACATGATGACTCGAATACACAATAAGTTTTAAATTTGGCAATTAAAATACATTTTGATATTTTAAATCTATTGTCATGTGGCCAACAAATCATAAAAAAGTAAATATTCCCACAAAGAATCTGTAGACAATGTCAATATTTTACATTAGTATAAAATGTTTTTAATTTAAATGCTAATATTATATTATTGTTATTATTATTATATACAGTGGTGTGAAAAAGTGTTGGCCCCCTTCCTGATTTCTTATTTTTTTGCATGTTTGTCACACTTTAATGTTTCAGATCATCAAACTAATTTAAATATTACACAAACCGTTATTGAAAAAAATTATATCGCGATACATATTGATATTGAATTATTGTCCAGCCCTAGGTGCAGCCGGAGGAGGGAAATCCTCTGGTGATGACGATTGACGACGGACGAGCTGGAGGGACGAGGGAGCCAGTGGGATGAGGGGCGATGAGGGAGCTAGGAGCCAAATTTTGAAACGTGCAGTGCTCATGTTTATTCAACGAAGTCAAACGCCACAAATAAATCAATGTATGGGAAACATTGGTAATGTATATCGAAATATCGGAAATGTTTTTAAAAATCATATCACCGTTATTGAAAAAAATTATATCGCGATACATATTGATATTGAATTATTGTCCAGCCCTAAGTGCAGCCGGAGGAGGGAAATCCTCTGGAGATGACGATTGACAACGGACGAGCTGGAGGGACGAGGGAGCCAGTGGGATGACGGGCCATGGTGGCGATGAGGGAGCTAGGAGCCAAGGCAGAGCCGACGGGTCGAAGGGCCGAGGTGGAATCCAGGCCTTGGAGACCAGAGGCGGAGACAGGGGATCCTCACGCCAAGGTGGAGCTGGAGACTGAAAGACCCACAGCGAGAAGAGGCTCCAGGATGGCGCTGACTGAGGGTGAGCTGAGAGGTTTACAGGAACCAGCGAAGACAGGGCAAAAGAACTGGCAGATATATGGAGAGGAGGTGGGAGAGGGAGGCTGGGAGGGAACACAGGAGGCTCAGGAGATTCAGAAGATACTGAATATTCAGAAGACTAAGGAGAGGCAGGGCTGAACGGAACCAGCGGGAAGACAGACGATTCAGGACAATCCAGGAAATAATCCACAACATTTCCAGAGGCCAGTGGTGGCTCACCCTCAGTGGTGGGAGCGTGGGCGGGGCTTCGATCCATCCCTTCATATTCTACTAATATCCCCTCTGGCACGTGCGGTGTTGCTGGCTCACACACCTGGTCAGCCGCATCGACAGCCTCTGGCTCCGGGGCGATGGCAGGCGCAGTCGCTTCTCCTCGCGCTGCCTCGGGCTCTCCATCTGCGGTGGGCTCAGGCAGACCCTCCGTGCAGCTGGGTGGTAATGGCTGGCTGGGCTCTGGTTCGTGCTGTGTTTTGGATAGGGGGCGGATGCTCTCCAGACACTGAATGATCCAGCTCAGTGCCATGGAGTCCGGGAGGTCAATGGGGCGATGGTAATTTGCCCCGATCCAGAACAGTGACTTCAGGGTCTCATCGTCAAAAGGGCAGGTGACAGCGAGAAGGTAGAAGTCTTTATTCGGGCAATCGCAGCAAATCGCGCACTATAATCCATTTTTATTGGTCCGGTTATCTGTCACAGTGTTTGCTGGCAGACAGATGAAGGCAAATGAATAAAGTTCCACACAACAAAGTTTAATAATAAATCCAAAAGGAGCGGGCAGACAGGTGTTAGCAAACACATACACATAACTGTGACCAGACAAAGAGTGACTGTGTGGGTATATATAACTAAACTGAATATAATGGTGACAGCAGGTTTTACCCAAATGAAGATACAATATTTACAATTCAATATAAATACAAATATGAATCCCCATTTAATCTTCGTAGAATTAAAGACTGAAAAAGAGTCATTTTCACTTAGGAAAGAGAGACTTTACATTAGTATTGATGGATACATATGTCAAAGGCAAAGCCCATAGCCAATGAATGGACTAGACTTAAATATATTACAATTCATTAATAGTTTTAAAATGCAGTAAAAAGAAAGACAGAGAGGAACGCAATGTCTTAATTTCAATCTATGGGAGATTATTAAGAGGTAATGAATTAATAGTAAGTGTACAACCTGATGACTTTTGACAAAATGCACTATAGTATATCCCACTGAAAAAACCCTAAAATGTGATATTTTATAAATTAAATTTTCAAAATATAATTTTAAAAACCACTAACACTAACTCAAACGCTACACTGTGAAGCATCTTATGAAATTAACCTGAATCTATTTGGCAGTGAGGTTGCACAATGAAACACTACTCTAGCATTTTCAGTGTCATCATGTCTGAGTTAATGGGAATGACTGCATCATTGATAACAGTACTGGGCAGGATATGGCAATTTCTCAATCAGGTCACACGGCAAATCACATGGCAGTCTGTTCATAAGCCTAGAATTTAGCTTGATGCTTTCACTACCATGACATGAATGTGTCATGGCCATTGTTTCCTCATTCTTCTTTAAAGGGGTCATATGACATTACACCAAATACACAAAATAATGTTCTTTTTAGCAATGCGTTTATGCGGTTTAAGGTTCAAAAAACACATTATTTTCCATATAATGCACATTATTGTTTCTCCTCTATGCCCCGCCTTTCTGAAACGCGTCGATTTTTATAAAGCTCATCGTTCTAAAAAAGCAAGGTGTGCTCTGATTGGCCAGCTATCTAGTGCGTTGTGATTGGCCGAATACCTCAAGCGTGTGACAGAAATGTTACGCCCCTTATCATACTGTGATGCCGTCTCCCAGCAGGACGAGACAAAACCAATAAATCCCATTACAAATGAGGCATTTGTTGCATCCAGTGGGGACATAATTACTGATTATAATGACTTATACTGCGTATCGCACTGCATAAACATAAAACCATGTCTGCATTTGTGATCGGAGAAACAACAAGCCTACTCTACACTGCTCAAAACTCGCGTTTGAATCATCAGTGGCAAATTATTTAAATATAAAAAAACGTACTCTTCTTTTTTTGCGTGAACATTTGGGCGGCGTTATGCAAATCTTCCCACATAGTGACATAGACATGTGGGGGCGTGTTAGAATGAGCCGTTTTAGGTAGGTGTGGTTGACTCTTAACTTTTATAAAGAATATCTCTTTGGATTTGAGACTTTAGTCTTTGCAACCTTACAGATCTCCTTTATGCACCAAGAGCTTGTAACACTCCAAAGAGAAAGGAAAAATTTAAATCGCATCATATGACCCCTTTAATGCATATATGATTACACAGCTCAATTAAGACCTCAATACAAAAAAGGTTATTATTTCAGTTATTATCGCAAATTAAAAACCTTTTACCTGAAGGAAAATTAACATTTAATTAATAATATTTTCTACCACATAAAATCAATTATATTTTTTTCCTCACTGAAAACTCCTAAACAGACCAGGCAAAGAAAAAAATTATCTTGTTGAGCCTGCAAATGAAAAATATCAAAGGTATGTACTCTTTTGTATGACAGTGTCATATAAATGATGAGTTGTACAAGTTGTAACGTAATGTAAATAGTAAGGACACTGAGTGAAACATGTTGCAACTGATTCCAATGGGTGAGAGTTGAATGACCTACATTAGACCTAAGAAAAGAGGAACTCTGTCTATTCATTTGAATCTTAATGTGACTGTTTTGCCTCCACCTAATTTGAATACTCTGCACTTTTCTTGTTTAGGGATTCAGTCTCACCTTTACTGGGGCAGGGCACCTCTCCTGTGGCTCTTTCAACTCCTGTGCCATCCTGGTCTGAGGACGGAACCACCTTATGAGACCCCCTGCGACTGCGTGGGCCGCCAGCACCCTCATTCACCATCCTGCTGCTGAAAACCCAACACCAAGAGCAAATTTCATTCTTATGCATTGGAGTGTAATTGAATTCATAGCAATTTAAAGTACACAATTCTAAGAATGTTAATCTTGATTGCATCAGTAAGATTATTATTATTATTATTACTAGTAAGATTTTAATTGAACTTTAAAAGTAGTCATTCTGACTAGTCATTGAATATAACACATGAAGATTTTTGTTAGCAACTAAGAAATAAGTAAGGTTATCTAAGGAATAGTCTCCCTTGTGATCCTAACTGGTATCAAAATAACCTGAATACAGTATTAGTCAGGCTAGATGAGTAGTTGATATCTGAAACCACAGTAGGGCTGGGTAAAAAAATATCGATATCTCAATATTAATTGATTCTCATTTTTACAGAACGATATAGATTCTTAAATCCCAAGAATCGATTAGTCTAGCCTGTTTTCAGTTAATGGACCGAACGTTGAAGGGCACTTCCCATCCAATATATCGCAATAAGCATTGTGCGTTGGTACTTTTAATATGAAACAAAGTCTCAGATTTCAAATTCTGTCCATTGTATTGCAGTATTCAAACAATAAATGCCGTTTTGGCGTTGTTTAATGTGGAGTGACAGATCGCTGTAGCACCTCAGTTCAACAGACGCAGCAGCACGAGGCACATGTGAACTAATCATCTCCTCCACATTAAAGGTGGGGTAAGCAATTTCTGGTAACCAATCTTGACATTTGAAATCACCAAAACAAACACGCCCCTACCCCAAAAGGGTCTCGCCCCTATTTTGATAGCTCTGCCCCACACATACGTACGCAACCCAGGCAACGATTAGTTCTGTGAAACAAAGCAAAACCAATATTACACCGTGTCTACACCGGACACGAGTGGCGCGGCGCAACAAAATACTATAGAACTCCGTCACGCCGGATCTGTTTCCTACGTTGTTGTGATTTGATCTGAACGGAAACAGCATTCAGCCGCGCAAAGACATTAATATAACGGCTTGTAACGTCACATTTACCTCAGAAAAACATATTTGGTGCCCATAAACTCATTAGTCAGCTAGAAAAATAAACTGTAGAGTAGGGCTGGACAATAATTCAATATCAATATGTATCACGATATAATTTTTTTCAATAACGGTGATATACCTTCCGATATACATTACCAGTTTCCCATACATTTATTTATTTGTGCCGTTTGACTTTGAATAAACATGAGCACTGCACGTTTCAAAATCATAACACGGCGGGTGTTTTATATGAATGTATCTCTGAAGGGAACCGACTGTCTTCAGAAAAGTTTCGATGGCATTTTCATTTGATCTGATAAAGTAGCATTCATGAGCGGAGCTGCTTTGATTACAGCCATTACTGGGGAAACCGCTAGTTTTATCACTCTAAAAGCGCCTCCTGCAGGCAGAGAATGACTTTGCATTTTAAATAAGCCCATCTCCAGCAAGGTTATTTTCGTAAACGAAAACTAAAACTAAGACGAAAACGATTGGTCAAAAAACATTTTCGTAAACTGAAAAAATAAATAAATAAATAAAACTAAAATGATGTGTGTCGGTTTAGGGAAATAACCATAAATGGCGCATTATGCACATGAGGTTATCTGACGGAGACGCAAAGCAGTTTAAAGCAGAGTCCTGCACGGGTCCTGTTAGGTAAACCTGGCCTGCATCCGCAGTACACAACAGAACACCCGACCCATTCGTTATCCGACAGCAGCCAGCACCAATTTAATTCTGTACCCGACCCGTTTGACATCAAGACCGCGACCTGAACCGCACCTGCATTAAATAGGCTACCGCATCAGTAAGGCAAAATTATTTATTTTCTCATGTGAGACAAGCAATCAAACCAAAATAGGCATTTTAAGTTGGTGCTTTGAAGAGAAATAAATAAGCAGCGCAACAGAAGAATGATAAGAACGCGCATCCTTCCTGTATACAATACAAATTTTGCCTACATCTTGTGAACAATCTGCCAGGCTGTTTTGAACAAATGTGCATAAACTACATACTTAAATCTTCATAAATGAAAAGAACATATTTAGAT